ACTTGTGTGGCAGTGCAGTTGTGTGGTTGATAGTGATATGGACAAGAGGCAGATTTATAAGTAAATGCTCTCTTGAATACTGGATTTAAAAAAATCAGTAGTGAATTTGGTTAACAGTGGTTTCTACTAAATGGCATTGTGCTGTAGTGGCTGGCGGGGTGATAGGGATGGCATAAGATCTAAGTGCAGCAGCTCGCAAAGATTGGAAGCTGCTTGAGTTGGAACGCTGTATCTCAATCCCTGTGTTTTGTAATGGTAGCTTTTCCCAGTAGCTCCAAAATGTATGGTTCTCTATACTCTGCATTAAAATTACATTTAATCCTAGATTTTACTAGCCTAGCTTGGCTGCAGAATGAACAGAAAGATATAATTATCTTGCATTATTTGCTTTTCTGTGGCTGCAAAGTGAAGCTATAAGACATTTGAGCCCGCCCGTGCCCCCCACTTCCCCCCCATTTCTTTGAACAGCGTTATCTAAGGAAATGGTAGAAAAGCTTATTTACATTAAAGGACCTTTTACCATAGCACTATCGGGAAGCCCGCACTGAATGTGATAACCATGTAGATGTATCTGTGTGGTGGTGATCAGTGTTTAAAATTTGAAGCTTATATAATGTTTTTCACAAAATGAAATTATTTCAATCCTTCAGAGCTCAATGCTGTATTAGAAGGGAATATTTTTAATGACAGTTTTTAGAGACGTAAGGTAGCCAGTATTTTGGTAAATTTAACAAATCTAATTTACACAAGGAATACAGTTAAAATATCCAGTTTATCTGTTCCTTGAACATTATTTTTTCCCCACCTGAAGAAAGAAAATCCTCAGGAGTGTACTTGCTCATGATGAAGAAAGAAGGTAAAACCCAGACTCTTAGGACGCTAGAGATTGGATGGGACATTTAGATAGCTGTGTCATACTTGGGTTGCTATAAGTTGGAATCAACTTGACGGTAGTGGGTTTGGTTTGGTTTTGGTCATACTGGAACAGTACTTTTATCTACTCTCACAGTTTATACCATTCATAATCATACATTCCTGATGTCTGTTATCTGTGTTACTCACAGCTGTATCTATCCCCAGCACCTAAAATAGTGGCTGCCACAGTTTAGCACTCAATAAATATTTGTTGAATGAGTAATGTCCTGAACTCCAGTAATTTTCCCAAAGTGCTCTAAAGATAGCCTTCACTGGTGTGAAGCTGTGTAGGCCATAACAATGTTTAATATGTTAAAAGTATAATTAAAGTACTTTAAAGATACAAAGCTCTCTCTTAGAATTTTCTCAGACAGAATTGCTAAAAGGTGGAAATAAACGTAACATTAAAAAGAGAGTGCCCCTTTAGAAAGATTCTTTTCGGTTTTGTAGGAAGAGGGCATGCCAGAACAGCACTTGTCCCAGCTTTTGTGCTAGACAGGATGAATTACTGATGACAGCACAATAATATCCTAACTTCATTCAGTAGTTTTTTCATCACCATTGGTAAATAATTCTACACCGTATATTTTTCAAATATGTGTTTGTGTAGGGGTGGGAGGGATAGACGCTGTAAATATTTATTGGGTTTGTATCATGGAAAGGTCAGGAGTTGGAATATTTTAAGGGAATAATTGAAAGGAGAGAAATTACCCGTTATTTAAAGAACAGAGTAGTGGAAGGAAGCTCAGTTTACCACATAAATTGCAACAGCCCCCTCAGGGGGAAAGTGTGATCTGAAATAAAGATTTGTAAAGGAAGTGTGAATGCTGGGGTATGTTTAGGGAAAAATGCCTCTCCCTCTAACAAGCATTCATTTGAATGTTAGCTGAGGGGCATTGTGCAGGAAGTAGCCATCCTCTCTTAAAACACCAACCAGCCAACAACAAGTTCACCAAGTTATTGCAAGATTTCTTCTAGCTATTGTTGAAGGCTTTTCTTGATTGAAGATCATCATTATATTTTGATTTAACTTCATCGACCCAGCGGTTCACCTTTAGAGTGGGCCTTATGCTTTTATGAGTAATCTCCTGTTACCAGCCACCTAAGATTTAAAAATTTTTCTGTGCACTGTACTGTAGTTTTATTATAAAGTACTAACATAGATAATTATGTGAAACAAATTGTTTTTGTTTATTGTGTGATAAATGTTTTTGTATCTCTGAAAAGGTACTCTCTGTCTCTAAAATTGATGAAAATTGAGAAAGATAGCTTCATTTTTTTCCTTTCCTTTTCATTTTGTAAATAAATAGTAGTACTCATTTAGCACATACTATGTGCCTAGTAGAAGCACTGGTGGTGCAGTTGTTGAGCACTCAGCTGCTAACCGAAAGGTCAGCGGTTTGAACCCACGAAGTGGCTCTGCAGGAGGATGTGGCAATCTGCTTCCATAAAGATTGCAGCCTTGGAAACCCTGTGGGGCGGTTCTGTTCTATCCTGTAGGGTCACTGTGAGTCGGAATCGACTACACATCCACGGCTTTATTTTTTTATGTGCTAGGTACACTTCTAAGCAATTTCCATATATTTTCTAATGTTATCGTCACAATAGCCCTAAGAGGTAGATGTTGTGCTCATTCTTAAAGATGACAGAATTGAGGCAGCAAGAGGAAAAGTAACTTGCCCTAGTGACACACCTATTAAGTAGTACAGCTAGAATTTAAACCCAGGCAATCTGGTTCCAAAGTCCGTAGTTTTTCATCATTCTCCTTATGATTACACATTTTTACTATAATTTTTAAGACTTTATGATATGATTAATTTGATTTCAAATTATCACTAAAATGTGTGTGTTTTTCAAAATAGGCTTGCTTTAAAAAAAAAACAATTCTATGTTTTTAAGCTCTCATTATAGACCATTGTTATATCATAACTCGTTGCCATCAAGTCAATTCTGACTCATAGCGATCCTATAGGACAGAGTAGAACTGCCCCATAGAGTTTCCAAGGAGCGCCTGGTGGATTCAAACTGCCGACCTTTTGGTTAGCAGCTGTAGGTCTTAACCACTACGCCACCAGTGTTTCCGGTTATATCATAGAACTTGGCAAATAGCTAGTTTTTCTGGATATAAGGCAAAGTATGAAAATATATTTTTATACCTCTGAAAGGAGGCTATTTTGGACAGTTTTCAAACATTTGCAAATTATAGTAGTATTTTATTTTTAGAATAGTCTAATGGTGGAATGTCATAAAAATAAACAAGTTAATATCTAGCATTCATATTCATTACATACAGCTCCCCGCGCCACCACTCCTAAGCAGGAGCCAACATTGATCATTGTTGTAGGTGTTTGTTTTGTTTTAAGGTAGTTGATTTACTGTCACAGCTAATATATATCCTGGACTTTTTTGGACCATCTTGGTTTAAAATAAATTGTTGCCACCCAAACTGTGAGAATGCCCTGAAATTTTGATTTTCAATTTTTTTCTGTTCCACTAAGTGAACAATGAAAGAAGATATTGGTGATGTCCCTTCTAATAGCAGTTGAATAGTTAGAAAGATGAGGGACCTGCTGGGGATGTTTCAGGTATTCGTTTATTCATTTCATTCAACAAATACTGAAGGCAGGCTTACTGTGTGCCCAGCCTTGGGGCTATTGCAGTTGCTGAGAAGGCATTTAAAGAATAAACACAGGGCTCTCCACTTGTGATTCCATAGCTCTTTGCCCACATCTAGATGACAGTAGTTGTTACAACCTTGATCTTGTCATCTTGTGGTGTTGCATCTCTACAACACATCCTTGCCAGTTTGTGAGTTTCCTGGCAATAGGTACTGGAACTTACTAAGGTTTATGTCCTCCTTTCTTGTGCTGGGTGTTCAGTGAATGCTTGTGAATGGCTCAGATACGGAATTGACGCACAGGTGAAAAAATCAAAAGATCAGAATGCCATTCCATGAGGGGAGGGATTTTTCTGCCTGTTTTGTTCACTGTTATAATCCCAGGGCTTCATTCCTTGAAACACAATTGTCACTTAGTCAACATAAGGCTGAATGAATTCAAATGAACTGAGATTTAGATTTGGATTGGGTCCTATAGGGTTGCTATGAGTTGGAATCACTTGACGGCAACTGGTTTGGTTTGTTATTTTTTGGGGGTTTATACTGGGACAGTAGTTGAAGGCTTTATTTGTTCATTTAATAATTGTTGCTTGAGTATCACCTTAGGGGCTGTGTTATGCACTGCAGATATAAGGCTTAGCCTAAACAGAGACAGTTCTTGTGTCAGAGGGTCTTTCTACCTGCTACTTCTCTCCTGCATCAGCAAGTTGGGACTCAGGAACAAGTGGAGTGAGAAAAGTTTATTAGATTTGATGAGAGAGAAGTCTGGTCCTAAAGAGAATGTGTAGATAACCAACATCTTCATTCATATGTACTGAAAAATTAGTATACTATTGAAGAATTATTTTCTTTAGAAAGCTCTTGTATTTTAGGCAGTTTAAATTTTTTCCAGTGAAATTTCTGTACTTGAAAGACTTAAGAAATGCTAAAGGGAAAGGCCATAATCCAGTATGTTTTTAGGTGCTTTGGGGAGAGTAGAACAAGCGTGAGGGTCAACCTGGCTGAGTTTGAGTCCTGGCTTCACCACCTACTGACACAGTGTGATGAGCACCTTTACTTGCTCTTTCTATGCCTCAGTTTCCTCATCTGTAAAATGGGGTGATCATAGTTCCTATCCTATAGGATTAAATGAGAGACTACCTTCCTCATAGCGTTAAGTAAGATAATGAGTACATGGAATGTGCTTAGCACTGTGCCAGACCAAGTACTCTATAGCTGTTTGTTATTGTTGTTCTTAATCCTATTCCTGTTATTGCCCAAATGTTCTCCTCCTCACCTCTCTCGGAACAGCTGGAACTGGAGGATGGTTGGAAAGAGAACAGATTACCATGCTGACTAAAATGATTGTGAATCAGCCTGTCCCTTTCTTGATTCTTCTATTAAGAGAATAAATACAAGGCTTGCTTAGTATTAATGTGCTTCCAATTTTGTTTTTTGGTGCAGTTAACTAAGTTTGTATTTGTTTTAGCTACATGAAAGTGGTTATGATGCTGGCAAAGCCCTGCAGCGCCTGGTAAAGAAACCCGTGCCCAAGCTGATCGAAAAGTGCTGGACTGAGGATGAAGTGGTGAGTGCTGACAGCATTGGCCTTGTTGTCTGGGTCATTGGGTGTTTGCTTCTCAGTATGTGATCTCCCTGCTACTTGGGGAGCAGGGTTCATTCAGAAGAGTCAGCCATTTGTATGACAGACAGTATACCACATCCACCAGTCAAGGGGAGATAGCCTTTCACCCTTATAATTTTACAGAATTGATTTTAGTAAGCTTAGGTTCCATGGCTGATAGGAAAGTGTCCCCCATGTTTCATGGAAAGATAAAAGAAATTGATAGTTACTCTTAAAAACAAGTTAATTTTGGTTTGTTTGTTTTTGGTGCAAGCTGGCTTTTGATACCTCACTATTTGGAGACACAACCATGTTAAAACCAATTGATACATAACCTAGAGTAGGTCTGGTAACTTGTTTTATTTTGAGGGCTGGCAAGATCCCTAACCTACTGAAGGACATTAATCAAAAGCAGGAAGCACAGATTGAAATATGAATACAATGAATTTTAAATACCGTTCTATTGCTCTGGCCCAGTAAAGGAGGTGAGAAAGGAAAGAGAAATGTGCCCACAAATACATATTTGCAAACTCATATATTCCCATACCAGCAGACAGTCTTCATAAAACTACATCTCCATCTTGTGACTCTTAAAAGGTATTACTGTCAAAGGCTTACAGATTACTTGTGCTTTTGCAAATACAGCCTTCAAAAGTAGTCTTACCACTTGGCATTTGCCCTTCAGGTTAAATGAAATTAAGATGAAGTCTGGCATTGATTCATATATTGATTGCAGGTTCCTTGCGTACATTTTGAAATATATAAGAAGCAGTTTTGAATTGTTATGTGCTTTTTTGATCCTACTGTCTTTTGTTTATTCAACAATATTTATTGAGTGCCTACTGTGTGCCAGGTGCCTCGCTAGGCACCGTATCAAGAAGAACGCAAAGTCCTCCTCTCATGAGTCTTAAATGTATTAAAAGGGGAGATCATCCCTAAGTCAATATATGTCAAGTGGTAGTGGTACACGCGCTGGGGAAAAATAGAGTAGGGTTACGAGGATGGGGAGTAAACTGGGTGGGCCATATTTTATGTAAGGGAGTCAGGGAAGGCCTGGTAAGTAACATTTGAGCAGAGAACTTAGTGAAGTGAGGACACCAACCTTCGAGATATCAAGGAGAAGGGAATTCTAGGCCCTAGCGTGAAAGCATGCTTGGCATGTTCAAGAAATAGGCAGGAATGTGTCTGGAGCATAGTGAGGAGGGGGAGGGGTAGGAGATGTAGATGCTGAGTGGGAAGGGGTGGATCAGGTGTGGCTTCATAGAGCCCTGGTCAGGGCGTGCCCTTTGCTTGACATGAGCAGGTTCTGAGTAGAGGATGTGATTCGATGGGACGGTAGGGATCACTCTGGCTTCTGAGCTGAGAGTGGAATATGGGGGCTGTTGTGGTAGTACAGGCCAGAGACCAGTGATTTAGTAGGAAGTAGCAGTGGTGGTGGTGAGAAGCGGTGAAATCCTGGATGTATTTCAAAGGTCACGCCAAGAGAATTTGCTCACAGAATAACTGTAGATGATGGAACGGGGTGGATGGGAGGAATGAGGAAAAGCTGGGTGGCAGCAGAGATGGACTAAAATGAGATTTGAAGTTTTGGTCATAGCATGCCAGTTGGAGTCCTTTAAGGCTTTAAGCTTATCAGATTTATGATGAAGTTAGTGTAGCTGGTTTAAAATAAAAAAATAAAACTCTTACATGAGTAGTAAAGAACTGAAAATGGCATTAAACATTATTTTATTATTCAGATAATAGCCAAAGTAAAAATGTTAAACTCAGTTGTTTTGAAAAGTCGTATTGGTGTTGTTTCTTACTATAAATTTATTTACGTGAGGAGATAAGAGATTTCATAGATAAAATTTTTAAATTCTACAAAAAGCTTTTCGTGGGAATCAGACATAAGGAGATGAAAAGGAAGGAATGAATGTGTAAAATGTGACTGTTTATCCAGACTTGCCAAGATTTTGTTCAGTCTTTTTGTATCCCATTGCTGCTGCCCAGCTCATTATATGCTTTAGGTCCTTGTTGGTACATGTATGCCACAACAATTCCTCCTAGTCCTTACTCTCCTTTAAGTCTTGAGCATAATTCTTTTCTCTCTTCTGTCTCCATTTCCTTTGGGTTCCAGTGTCAGCCAGTGTTCTCCAGAGAAACAAAACCAATAGGTTATACATACATAAATATAAAAAGATTTATTTTAAGGAATTGCCTCATGTTGTGTTGGGGGTTGGCAAGTCTGAAATCTGTGGGGTAGGCAGGCAAGCTGGAAACTCAGGCAAGAGTTGAGGCTGCATTCTTGAGTCAGAAATCCTTAGAACAGGCCAGCGGACTGGAAACTCTGGCAAGATTTCTGTTGCAGTCTTGAGACAGAATTCCTTCTCTGGGAAACCTCAGTGTTTGCTCTTAAGGCCTTCAACTGATTAGATGAGGCCCACTCACATTATGGAGGGTCATCTCCTTTATGTAAACTGCTATAATTGTAAATGTTAATCATATCTATAAGAATACCTTCCCTGCAACATCTAGACTCTTGTTTGACCAAACACTAGGCACCACCCCCAGCCGAGTGGACACATAAAATTAGCCATCACAGTGCCCATCTGCTTTTCCTGCCTCCCTCCCCCTTCTGACTTAGTGTTCCTACTTTGCTGCCCCTCTATTTTCAATCATGGTTCCCAGCTTATTAGGCATGACCTTTCCTCTATTTCTCCCTTGATATCATTCCCTCTGGAATTTCTAAAATTCACAGTACCGGGTAGTAGTCTCTTCCTGCTGAGAAGAAAGGTGGTTTCTTTTTCCCGCACCACTTGGTTATATCAGGTAAGATGTTGACTGTATCCCATTGCTGCTGCCCAAGGATTTTCAGCAGCCAAGCTTTACACATCAGAAAGAGCTCAGCTTTATCCTGAAAAATGAAACATAACTTCAAAGTGGTCAACGTTCGTGTACATAATAATGATCTTTAACTGCATAAATCTTTGTTGATCTGGGCTCATTTTTATCATGTTTGCTTCTGGTTTTAGTTTAAGTCTTGAGAAATGTTTTGATAGTCATCCAGCCCTGGAAGTGCCTCAGGATCAAACTGTTCCCTTGTTTATAGGAAGTTAAGTTTCACTTTCTAAAACCTCAAAAGAAAATGAGAGATAGTGATTGAATGATTGATAAGCTGAAGGAGGTTTCCGCTGAATGTATCCAAATCAGACCATTGAATAGTTTTATGTGCAATAAGGCTTTGGCTGTAGAAAAACACAGAAACACCTGTATGTGTGCCGACGGCCCCTTCTGTTGAATTTACCACATTTTCTTAACCCCAGGAATCACAAGAATAAGCAAAACAAATGTGTCCTAGCTAAAATAAGTCCATGAGCCTACCTTCCCCTTTTTCCCCTCCCAGTCTTCTGTATACTTTGAACATTCTAGTTATTTTTAAACTTCGTTGCTTCCGGTATATTACTTTAATCTAACTACTGAACTCCTGTCTAAAATCGATGATGATGTTTTCCTTTGCAGTCATATGAATACTTTGAAGCTGCTGCCACCTGCTCTTGTGAGAGGTTGGTGGAACAAGCCCTTGATGGTGTGACTCTTCAGCTGTGCCATGGACAGGCAGGGACCAGGCACCTCCTCACTGTCAGGTCCCTGCCCCGTGAACAGAATACCTCTCTCTCCTGCTAATCCAGACCCTAACCATTCTTCAAGGCTGAACTTCATCTCCTATTTACGTCATTTATTTGTCTTTTTATGCTAGCATTTGTGGCACGATCACCAGCTATTTGTTTCTCATTGTCTTTATTTCTGAGTTGATTATCTTGCCCTCCTTCTAGTTTGTAAACTTAATAAGGGTGAGGACAGTGCCTGTCTTTATTAGGGGCTTGAAAAATATTGATGATTTTTACTCAAGGTTATACTTGATTATTCACTGTAATTAATCTAGCCTTTAAAAACTTCTGTTAGGTGACGTTGAGTGTGTTCCGACTCATAGCAACCCTGTGTACGACAAAAGGAAACACTGCCCAGTCCTGCGCCATCCTCACAGTCATTACTATGTTTGAGCCCATTGTTGCAGCCACTGTGTCAGTCCATCTCGTCGAGACTCATCCTCTTTTTTGCTGACCCTCTACTTTACCAAGCATGATGTCCTTTTCCAGGGACTAGTCCCTCCTGATAATATGCCCAAAGTACGTGAGATGAAGTCTTGCCATCCTCACTTCTAAGGAACATTCTGGCTGTAGTTCTTCTAAGACAGATTTGTTTGTTCACTCTTCCGGCAGTCCATGGTATATTCAATAGTCTTCACCAACACTGTAATTCAGATGCATCGGTTTTTCTTCAGTCTTCCTTATTCATTGTCCAGCTTTCACATGCATATGAGCAATTGAAAACACCATGGCTTGGGTCAGGTAGCACCTTAGTCCTCAAGGTGACATCTTTGCTTTTTAACACTAAGGAGGTCTTCTGCAACAGATTTGCCCTATGCAGTTTGTTGTTTGATTTCTTGACCGCTGCTTCCATGGACGTTGGTTGTGGATCCAAGCAAAATGAAATCCTTGACAACTTCACTATTTTCTCCGTTTATCATGATGTTTCTTATTGGTCCATTTGTGAGGATTTTTGTTTTCTTTATGTTGAGGTGTAATCCATACTGAAGGCTGTAGTCTTTGATCTTTATCAGTAAGTGCTTCAAGTCCTCTTCACTTTTAGCAAGCAAGGTTGTGTCATCTGCATATTGCAGGTTGTTAATGAGTCTTTCTCCAATCCTAATGCCACATTCTTCTTCATATAGTCCAGCTTCTCATTATTTGATCAGCATACAGATTGAATATCAGAAACTTTTCATAGTTAATAATTATGAATCAACATTAAAGAGAAAAGCTTTTATATGCACCCAAAGCTGACCTCCCAAATTACTACTACTGCTGCTGCTAATAGTAATACTAATATTGCCCAACCTTTGATAGTGTGTGCATAGGTGT